CGATAGCTCCTAGAAATCTTCGCGCGTCCCAACCAGCCAAGCGCCAAGCTACGAGTCGAGACGTTGAGTATGCGTGCATTCGGCGCTACACTCGACAAGTATGCATGAGACTCGAAACTGCGAAAAATCCTCGCGAGGCTTACCTAACTGCGGATATAAGCCGAGTCATATCGCGCATGATTTTTACATTTACCTACAAGCGTTATCGAGCGTTTCTAGGCGTTTCTAGAGCGTTTTTGAACGTCTTCGAACGTATTCGAGCGTTATCGACCGTTATCGAGCGCCTTTCGAGCGTTATCGACCGTTATCGGCACTCTCCGGCAACTCTCCGGCACTCTCCGGCAACTCTCCGGCACTCTTCGGCAACTTTGCGGCATTCTCCGGCACTCTACTGCACTTAACAACACGCAACGGCACTGTACGGCCTTCGATAAGGTTCTAAAACACTTGAGAAACGCGCGTAAACGATCGATAACGCTCGAAAACGCTCGAAGAACGCTCGATAATGCTCGAAAAACGCGTGAAAACACTCTAAAGACACTCGAAAACGGTTGAAAAACGCTCGGTAACGCTCAAAAACGGTCTAAAAACGCTCGATGACACTCGAAAACGCTATGAAAGTGCGTGAAAATGCTCGAAAACGCTCGAAAACGCTCGAAAACTGTCGAAAAACACTTGATAACGCTAGTAGGGAAATGTAAAAATCATACGCGAAAAGACTCGTCTTATATCCGCAGTTAGGTAAGCCTCGGGAGGATTTTTCGCAGTATTCGACTCTCACGCATACTCGTCGAGTGTAGCGCCGAACGCACATATATTCAACATCTCTACCCGTAGCTTTGCGCTTGACTGGTTGGGACGCGCGAAGATTTCTAGGAGCGATCGCACTCACGCAGATTCGCCGCATGAGAATTCCGTACGCGACACCGACGCGTGCCCCAAAGCTCCGCATCACGTCGACTTCGATGCACAATGTACTTAATAGCAGTAGATAAGTAGATAAAGTCAAATGGAGCGTCACGAGTGTTCTTCCCTTACCATAAAAAGTGAGCAGTGTTGGTAAGCGTAGGTAAGCCACCACCGTCAACTGCCGCATAGTATTACCATCACGAGTACGTGAGCCGCCAACGGCAACTGGTAGATGGTACCGCCATCGCGAGTGCGCGAGCTCCTATCAGAAATTCGTTGCGCCGCCCTTGGGAGCAAAAAACGGTGAAATCTAACGTACGAAACCAGAGGGCAGCACAGGATGCGATCACACGATCCTGCCCGTGAGCAGTCTTCCAACTCATCTCTGTTCGCACTTTCCAATAAACGGTTCTCTAATTGCGTCACAGGTCTCCCTAGAGTTCTCAAATACTCGATAACCTAAAACTGAAGAAGATAAACTGCAAAACATACCATAAGTTACCGAGAATATCGAGAATTTACAAGAACGTTAATTTTTCTATTTAAATACTTGAGGCTTCTTCACATAAATATCACATTTCTTTTCGATGCATTCCGAAGTTCAAGTTAAGGAGTATTAAATGTTATTAAAAAATATTAACTACAGAGTTTCATTACCTTCCAGTAAAAGATATTTATGTATTTACGTATTTGGAAAAATGACCGATAAGTTGCAAGTAATTTCTCATCGTTCCTGACGTAACTTACCATGTTTGCAACTCTAGTTCTCCCTAGATTCGAGTTCGAAATTGGGCCGCTTTAGAATTAAAATTCCCTCCAACGGGTAACTGTAAACCCGGCTTTCGAGGGTGAAGATTCTACCGAGTCTCGCCAGATGGCGCCACCGTCGCCCGACCGGTTCCCTCCCCAGGCGACTCGTCTTCCGCTTTTGCAAACCGGCGGCCGAGTGGGAGCCTGTCGCCCTCGCGTGGCGACGCGCCTCCCGGTGAGCGGAACTCGCGAGTGGCCCGCGCGTGCGAGATGGCGTCGCCCGGGTGAAGAGCGCCGGAGGTGTCTCGTCGAGAAGCCTGGAAAGGCCCGTACCCAGGGAATTGTCGCGTCGACGAGCCGGTGCTCGCTCGGAGCATTCGTCGCCCCGGATCGGCCGGCTCGCCCGCCTCGGCGGCGTCGAGTCGCGCCAGTCGGCATGTGACCCGGGACCGTAGCCTGGCAGTGGTCCGCGAGCCGTCCGCGGCGCGTCTCGACCCGCCAGGAGGAGACCCTCGTTGTGTCCTGCTCGCTCCGCGTGCGCCGTCTCTCTCTCGCCGAGGCCGCCCCCCTCCGCGCGCCCGGCGGATCGACGGCGACCCAGTGACGTCTCCTCGGGCGAATCGCGGCCAACGGCTGCGCGCCCTCGCGGACCGGTCGCACCGCCGCCACCAGAGGCGGCGACGCGGGCAGCCATCGCCGCCATCGCCGCTCGGCTCGGACCCTCGTCGCCCGCCCCCCGGCTCGCCCCGCCAGTCCCCGGCCGACTGCTCCGACGACGGCGGCGGCGGCGACAGCGGCGGCGGCTACTGCGGTAGCGACTGCGCCAGCGAGCGACGGAGACGCGGCGAGACCGGCCGCCATGGAGCCGCGCGACCGCTACCACGAGCTCTGCAGGCTCTGCGCCTCTTACGACGCCGTCAAGATGGATATCTTCGGCCAGGAGGGCCGCAACCGCCAGCTCGTCGACAAGATCGAGACCTGCTTGCCCTTCAAGGTGAGTCCCCCTCCCACTTCCGTCAGCGCGGCCGGACGTGTCCGGACCCGTCCGGACACGCGAGGACGACGCCGAGGGACGAGGGCTAACCTCGATCCCGAGGTCGCCGGCTCCGGGAGAGAGCGCTCTCTTATTTATTTACCGTTCACCGACGCCCGGCCCGGGACCCGAGCCTTATCGAACCTCCGCGGTGACGTCGCGCCAGCGGAACCGCGTCGGCCCCGACTTCGACCCGGGCGTCCTCGGGCACGGCTCGGTCGCGGCTCGGTCGCGGTACGAGGCGGAACGCCTCTTTAAAGCCGCCAGAAGTCCGCCGCTGGCGGACCGCAGGCTTCTTTTATCCAAACGAGTGCGCTATGGGCTCGTATATTGTTTATATCGACATTTATTAATACGGTTTTCTACGATCCGTTGGACCCTCCTAATTGAGATTACGAGAGGCTTTAAGGGCGCCTGCTGGCACGGTTCTCGGCGCCGTTGGTATTGCCGAGACGCGAGACCAGTGGCGCGTCGGTTGGGGCAACTCGAGATATATCAGATCCTGGGATTACGTGCGGCCTGGAAATATTTCACGCGTTTACGCCGTTTCCGTTTATCCGGTTTCCGGTACTCCCTCGCCCTTTCGATTTTACAGCGTCGCTAAATCGAGGGAAACCAATCCTCTCGCGAGAAGGTCCATTTGTTTTCTTTTCTCCATTTAAGGGTGGTTTTCCACGCCGGGTTGCCGATTTTCGAGGTCCGGGCATTAATTCCCGATCGTTCCGTTTCTGGGAATATACATATATACGAATTACTGATCTTAAGTCGCTTTTGTACTTTAAATCTCGAATGTTTACGCCTTCTTATTTCTTAAGTAGTTTCTGAGACGTGTCGTATAATTTCCTGGGAGACGGTGGAGTCCCCGAAATCGGGGGTTCTGGCATTTTCGCGCAACCCTGGGTGGAAGTTCGGCCCAGTGGCGCCGCCTCTCGGGCGACGCGAGAAAGCGCGTGCACGGGGCGGGGGATGCGAAACCGCGAGCCGCGACTCCCGGGGCGAGAGAGAGGCCGCGACAGGGAGGGAGAGAGTCGTCGTCGGTCTCGCTCGCTCGATCGACGAGCGCCCCACGTCGAGGAGCACCGAGGTTAGGCGTGGACGTGGTGCGACGCACGGTCCTTGGCCGGCTCTCGGTCCTTGTTCGAGCGCCGCGGCCTGCCTCTCCCTCTCTCCCTCTCGCTCCCTCGCTCGCCGGCTCCGTGACTCCGTCTCTCTCGCGCGGCCCTTCTCGGCTCCCCGCTGACTCTCCCCTTGAAACCGCGCGACGTTTCCTCCGGCGAGGGACTCCTCGCCGACCGACGCGGTCGGAATTTAGACTTTTCAAAGATTTATTCCAAGGTATGCTAAGGTTTCGCGGATTTCCCATGGGATGGGATTTCGAGAGCGAGGACTATTGAAATTATACTTACGAGGTTTTAAGGCGATACGAAAGGGTCCTTCTACACCCATATAACGTAAATATATTTATACAACTTTTCTCCAAACCGGGTGCACCGATTCATTTGAAACATCGACACGTGATTATGAAGGCCCCAAGGAAGAACGCGATGCTTGTGAAATTTCATTTTTCAAACATTTCTTTTTTTTTTTTTTTATTTAACCTAGACTAGAACCAAGATCACATTTTTTGGGAGAATAAATGAAATCTCACGAGCATCGCATTCTTCCTTAGGGTCTTCATAATCACGTCCTAATGTTTCAAATGATTCGGTGAAATTAGTTTGGAGAGAAGTTTTATAAATATTGTTACGTTTTATGGGTATAGAATGACCCTTTCGTATCACCTTAGGGCCTGACATAACTTGGAGCGATTTTTAACGATTGTTCACTTTTTACGTTGAGTTGACTCGTCGAGCCATTGGATTTAAGAGATCATTATGGGACTATCACGGGCTTTTAAGATCTAACCTCCTTTTTCATGGTTTTTAGATTATTATGGTTATCATTCTCGACTGTTATCATATTCGTATCATAGGGCCGACTCGACAGTGCGAATTGAATCAAGAAACCGGGTAGAGTTCCGAGCCAAGCACATTTTTGCGGGACTCATCTTTACGCGATTTCGGTTCGATTTTTTTTTTTTTTCACGTTGGCAATGTTTGCGCCGACTGACTCGCTGTTTAAGAAAATAAGCCTAAACGAAGAATGGAAAGAATATTCCTTATTCCTGTTTGTTGAAGCGCACGTAGGTCGTATCTTAGGCCGGCGATTATTTCCTCGGGTAACGATCCCTCTGGGTATGGAGATAATCGTTTATCGGGGCTCCTCTCGCGCGTCGAAAATTAGCGGGAAGCTACTTCGGCAAACCGACACGGTAAATAGTCGCTCCCCTTTTAATGGCGCCGCCGTGGAAGAGAAACACTTGTTGCTACTTCGGATTAAAGGTTGAAACACGCTTTTTGTTTTTTTTTTCCCCCGGGATACGCCGAAGGAATTGCAAACGCAACGGTCGAAAGTGGAGGGACGCGCTTATCCGGATTCCGGATTGCGATTGTCGGCTGAAATCCGCCGCAGGATTTCTTTCCTCGATTTTTCACTTTGCGTATCGCCAGCTCGCGATAAGTCGCGCTTACCAACCTCCGAAGGGGATCGGGAATAAAAAAGGAAGAAAAGGGAAATTCTACTCCCCCGAGAGCGCCGGGGTAGGCGGAAAAATGTGCGATAATCCGAATAATTAATAGCAAACACGTGGATATCTAGATAGAGGAAGAGTAACTTAAGGGAGATGAGGAAATGTCGTAAGGCCAGTCGTGGAATGTTGGATTATAAAGAAAAAATTAAAGAAGAAAAAAAAGCAACGCGTAAAGGCTGATCAAGGAAGGCAGAAAGAGGAGAGGAAAATTGCTGTACTCCCTCAAAAGCGCAGCTTAAAAAATGTGCGATGATACGCTGCGAAGGAAAAGAAAAAAAAAGAAGAAATTCACCGTACCAAAGGAATACTTTGTTAATTCGACAAATCGTTATTTGACTCAAATGAACTCAAATAAATTGTTATGAATCCGAGGAAAATCTTCCATCCAATTAAGGCGATGTGGAAGTGGCATCGAAGAGGTTTTGTTTATAAAACTTTCCTCCCAACTCGATTTACCGAATAGTTTGAAACTTTACAACGTGAATAGGGAGATTATAAGGAAGGTCTTGAACCTCGTGAAATTTAAATTCTTTTCACATTTGTTTATAGATATTTTTAAAATAGTTTGTAAAAAATGAAATTTCGCGAATTTCAGGACCTACCTTAAGGTCTCCATATTCACGTTTTAAAGTATGAAACGATTTGAGATACCCAGTTCGTAGAAAAGTTTTATGAACGATTGAGTTTTCGGATGCTACTTTCACATCCCCTTAATACGAATTTGAGTGAAGTAATTATTCTTTGTATCAAGAAAATATTTCTGAAGTTTAACGACACTTTTTTCTCGGTGCAACTTAGATGATGAATAGTAAGGACGCGAATACGTCGATGATATAGTAGGCATACATTAAGGTAGAGAAAGAGAGAACGTCGGAAGGCCAGACGTGGAAACGTCGACTATTGGTATTCCTCGATAAAAAAAAAATCTGAAAAAAGAAAATTTTTTATCCCCGCGTTAAGGCTTAACTGACCACCGCAAGTCAGCTGACCGGAGTTATCTAACGATCACTCGATGACCCATTATGGCCGTCTCGGTTTCGTCTTTGCCTTCTCGATTTCGTTATTGCGATTGTATTGTCAAGAGTCGCGATCGCGAGCTCGAGAAATGGGCAAAACACTCATTTTCCACATATTGGACGCGTTTCATCCGCAGAGGGTATCCGCACGTTGCGGGGCGTTTTCGAAAAATCGTCGGGAATTTTTTGTGACGAGTACTCGCGAGTGTGACGCACTAGAGAACTCATTGAACCCGTTCCATGTGCACCGAGTTTTCTGGTTCATTGATACGCGGCCTACCGGGATTCGTTGTCATCCGACACGTAGTTACACCTGCACTGAGGAATAAGGAAATGTCATCGAACCAAAGGAATATTTCGCCAAATTCGAAGAATAACGTTTGCTGGCCCATTTTCAAGTGTTGCATCGCTTAAGGTTAAGTGAAACACGTCGAGGAACTTTGATCGACGTCGATGAAGAAGATTTTTCTAAATGCCTACGTTGCCGACGTTCGTTTTGATATTGACAGCTGTGTCGAATTATATTGGATATTGTACCAAATGGCATACTCCACCTGTCGTTTTCGTACAATAAATATCAAGAAATCGAAGTAAAACTCTAGAAATCCTCTGGATTCATGCTTTCTGGGGCCCTAATTGACTGCAGAGAGACTCCCTGCGCCATCTGTGATTTCCAGGTCAATTAAATTTTCACTCCGAGACCTCGTATTACCATTGTTTTAGCATAGAAACGTATACAACACTTTTTTCGCCTTTATCCCGTTCAAATGCGCGTTTATCGATTACCAGAGTGTTCTAAATTGTCGTAAAATTGTCCTGACCCTTTCGTTTCTCATATCAGAGCCTTTGATAATTGTATATTGATTGAAATATGAGAGCTCGACGTCACTTTGGTTCTGGTCTGGGCTAGTTAAAGAATTTTTTCCAAAAATCCAAATTCTGACAGTTTGGTCCAATACCCTTAAAAAAAAGTGTTGCATTCTAATTAACTGATTTGAAGGAGATTTCACTTCAACTTGAGCAAATCAAGTTACTCGTTATGACTGTGAATTCCTTTTCTAGGCGTGCGTCAACTTATTCGAGTTTATTCGAGTCAGATCACTTTTCCTTGAATTAACCAAATATTTCTGTGGTTCAATTACTTTTTTTATTATTTTTTATTATTATTTTTTTTTCTTTTCCTTTGAAGCACGCCGTCGCGTAATCTCGACGCGGATACGGGCCGGCGTGACTTCGGACAATGAAATGGAAACTATGGAAGTGATTGATACACCGGACTCCCAATTCGCGGTCGTTTGTGTTTGAGAACTCTTCTT